AATGCCTGAGCTCCCAGTATGTGAGAGGGGGCAGGCTGGGCTGAGGGACACCCCCCCACACACCCACACACACACCCAGTGCACGAATTTCGTGCACCGGGCCCCTAGTTCAATTTAAAAAAAAAATTGCTACCTCTTTCACAACCCTACTGCCCTTACTGTACCTTCTTTTGTTCTTAATATGGATTGTTGTACTGTCTCCCACATGGTTTCCCTTTCTCCATGTTTTCCCAGTTGTAAGAATGTACACACATATATAAGGCTATATGCATATTTTTAAGAATAATTTTCACACATGGTTTGCATAGCAGAGTATACTGTTGAGAACTACAGGAACCGCCTGTGACTTCTGCTTAAAACTACATTCCTTAGTCTTTCTCTCAAGGTTTGCCCTTTGCATATTGAATACGCTAATACCACCTAATGTTGTAGCTGTTTAAAACACACAGACCACCTTTAAATGTTGATGCTTAACAGGAATAATGTTTTATAACACTGAACAGCTTTTTTTGTGCTTTAGCTCTAAACGGTTCATTTAACACATTATAACCTTCTCAGAGAACTTTTAAAAAAAGTAATGTGCCATGTGTATGGGAGACATGTTTCCCCGTTCATGGAGTCATAACTGTGTAGAGAATGATCTTATTTAACCTTTCTGTGGCATGGTGTTTTCATAGGGAGGAAATCAGACAGCTACAGTGATTGCATTGTGTTCAATGAAGGATTTCAACTTAGCGCAAGAGACCTGCCAGTTGGCAATCAGGGATGTTGGAGGCCTTGAAGTTTTAATCAATTTACTTGATACTGATGAAGTCAAATGTAAGGTGAGTGGCTTTGTTACAATGGATGAGGGACCTTTTTTATACTTTCTCATGGGTCTCTTCTTAGTAGCAGGTGTCTGCTACTCCCACTGCCTGGTTCTCGCCTTACCTGCTATTATTACTGCTAAGATAACTTGCTACTTCTACTCTTGGCTGCTCTTCTCATCTCTCTGCTTTTCTTTTTTCTATCTGGTTCTTTTCATTAGTGTCTGCTTTTTAAATGATGAGTGTTTGTTCATATAATTAAAGGGAAATATATAGGCTATGTGTAACACCTAGAAATAGAATTTTTTTTTCTCTAAAAACTTAATTGGGGAAGGATTTTTGGTAGACTTGGAATTTTAAAAAATATAGCACTGGTTCTGTATTAAGCACACATTCATCTATAACCTTTTTTTTTCTCATTTAGATTGGTTCATTAAAAATCCTGAAGGAAATCAGTCATAATCCTCAAATCAGACGTAATATTGTTGACCTTGGGGGCTTACCAATTATGGTTAATATACTTGATTCTCCACATAAGAGTCTGAAATGTTTGGCAGCTGAGACAATTGCGAATGTTGCCAAGTTTAGAAGAGCCAGGTGGGCAGTGAGACACCATGGGGGCATCACTAAACTGGTGAGTACCACTGACATCAGCAGCAGCAGCACAGCAGCTGGCATGGAAATGTTAGCTCCATGCTGTCCTTTCTGGCCACTCCCGGACATTAGATAACCACAGGGCATGTTCTGAGAATCTTTGGATACACCAAGTCCTTGAAAATTATTTTTGTGTACTTATATTATCAAGTGGCAAAACACATGTTCCACCTTACTTTGCAAAGAAATACAAATTTTAAAAATCGTTGTAGTTCTCACCTATTATATTCATAGGGATACATTCATGTCTGTGTGCAGTGTTGGTGAGGGGTGGTGAAAGCCTGTGCAGTAGAAAGCAGTCTGGTAGCCTTTCCCTCCAATGTGGTGATATCACCATGAAGATTGTCCCCAAGGTGACGGAGGCGCATCTTATTGTTACACATAAGAGTGACAATTGAAAACACTTGTTTTGCAATATGAGGTTAATAAAATAATTTGTAGTATATCCATAAGAAATGCCTATTTGAAGCTCTATCAGTGGTGTATTTTATTTACTTATTTTTTATTGTTTAAAGTATTGCACATAGTAGTACAAATATCTCCTTTTTTTCCCCATTGACCTTCCCCCAGCCTCCCCTACCCGCTTCACATACCCTCATCCCATCCCCGCCCAGTGTCTTGTGTCCATTGGTTGTGCTTATATGCATGCACACAAGTCCTTCGGTTGATCTCTTTCCCCCACTCCCCAACACTCCCCAGCCCTTCTGGGGATTGATAGCCTGATCGCCGTTTCTCAGTCTTTGGGTCTGTCCCTTTTCATCAGTCTATGTTGTTCTTTATAATCCATAAATGAGTGAGATCATGTGCTATTTTTCTTTCTCTTGGTGTTTCTGATTCCTTGGGGTATATTCCTAGAAGTGGGATCACTGGGTCAAATGGGAGTTCCATTTTTAGTTTTTTGAGGAAATCCCATACTGTTCTCCACAGTGCTGCACCAGTCTGCATTCCCACCAGCAGTGCAAGAGGGTTCCTTTTTCTCTGCATCCTCTCCAGCACTTGAAGTTTGTTTATTTGTTGATGACTGCTATCTGACAGGTGTGAGATGGTACCACATTGTCGCTTTGATTTGCATCTCTTGAATAATTAGTGACTTTGAGCATGTTCTCATGTCTCTTGGCCTTCCTTCTGTCTCTTTTCGAAAAGTATCTATTTAGGTTCGTTGCCCATTGTTTTTTTGGATCATTTATCTTCCTTTTATTAAGTTGTATGAGTTCCCTGTAAATTTTATCAGTGGTGTATTTTAGATGTTTATTTAGGAAAAAAAGATAAATGAATATTTAATGTAATATAAGATTATAACAGGATTAAAAAACAATGGTACCTCTCACCCAATTTTTAAAGGTCTACCTAAAAAATATAGAAAAGACACTTGAAATAAACACAGAAAATTGTTCAGAGGAGTTTTCTATGAAATGATTACCAAATTTTCTTCCTATTTTCAAATACATGTCAGTTTGTTGTAGAAGTACTAGAGGTTCATTGCACGAAGATTCCCACAATAGGCCTTCCTTCCCCTGGCTGCTGGCACAGGTTTTCTTCCAACACCCGGGACCCAAGCTGTTGGTCCTGCCACAGTGAGGCTTGGCTTCTCTGCTGCAGCTCTCTTGGCCAGCCTGGGTGAGGGGCTGATGGCTGTTTGTAGCTGGTCACACCCCCTTCACGGTGGGGGTCCCACTGGGGTTCCTGGCCAGCTTGGATGGCTCTGAGGCTGATGCCGGCTGAAAGCAGGTATCTGGGGTTTGTTTAGCTTCTATAATTGAAACATTGTTGCTTCTGGCTCAGAGCCGGGCCGCGGCAGGCGAGGAACCTTCGCTTTCTCCATCACTGGAGCAAGCAAGCCTCCTGCTTGCTTCAGCTGTGTGGCTGCCAGCCGCCATCTTTGTTGGCACTTAATTTGCATATCGCCCTGATTAGCCAATGGGAAGCATAGCGGAGGTATGGCTAATTACCTTTTTTGTCTTTTATTAGATAGGATGATTATTTCAATAACTGTCACTGAAAGATAAAGATTATCATTCTACTCAATACCTCTGCCGTGACAGGAAGACCTTAATAAAGTGCAATATGGAAATGCATTTCCACCCTCCTTAGGAATTATCGACAGATCTTGTGTCTTCCCCACAGCTTGTATTCATCACTTCTGTAGTTTAACTTCCTCAAAATGAGAGCCAAATCTTATATATCTTAGTGTCACCCATAGCATTTAGTCCCATACCTTACACATACAAAGAGGTAATAATTATATATTGAGTTGATGTGGATTTAATGTGAATATATGCACAGTGAAAAGTGTTCTGAAATTTACTAAAAGAGATTCTGTGTTTTATTTGTACTCTCTAGAGTACTATAAATTATAATTTTTTGCTTCATATATAAGTGGACTTATGAATGGATAGATGGATGAATAGATGTCTAGCTATGTGATAAATATGACAAAATGTTTATTAGAGAACTTAGATGATGGATATATGGATGTTGTTGTACAGTTGCTTTACAATTTTTTTATTCTTTGTGTATGTTTGAAATTTTCCATAATAAAATCTTGGGGAAGTGGTAATTATTACTATGATTATCATTATTCTACTTAACTAATGAAATTAAATAGCAGGCTGATGTGGCTTTCCACTGACACTACTCTCATTGAATTGTCAGAAAGGAAACTGTAGACTAAAACTAAAATATGTTTTTTATGGGAGTCTTATACATCACATTTTGGGGCCTGAAATTTGAACAGTGGCACTAATGTAGTCAAGATAATGACATACAATTTAATTTTAAATAATAGCTAAGTAGATACAGGAAAAAACAATGATGAATAGGCTAATAATAAACTTGTAATTACTGTGTTGAGAACACATCTGGGAAGGACTAGAATTGGGGGTTCACTTTTGGTTTGACAGCTATGGGGGTAGAGGATAGAGTCCCCAACTAAAACTGGAAATGAGGGAGATCACTAATGCAGAGATGGAACTGTAGGCTGGGTATGGCATCCCAGCAAGAGAACTGAGGTCAAAAGCAGACAGGCTACAGTGGGTTTGATAACATAGGTCAGGCTCTGGAGAGGCACACCGGATAGAAGACTGTGCAGAAGAGTCTGAATAAGCAGGAAGAATGCATCAGGCCTGGACATATTGCAGGATTTAATGCTGTTAGCACTGTGGCTTATTTTCATGTTCCTCTGTATATATAGCACACTTGACCCTTTCTGTGAAAACCATTTTAATTATTTATTGAATTGTGTGTCAAATACAGATCTAGGTGGTGGAATTATGAATATAAATAAAGGTATTTTCCTGACCAAAGTCATATCATGCTTTCATTGTGGTGGGACAGAGGAGATACAGGCAAAAATATAAGTAGAGGGTGAGTATTAGGTATTTCATTGAAGTCAGTACTGGGAATAGAGGAGGAATAAAGGAGGGGCTAATCAATTGACTCTATTTGGAAGAGGAAGGTCAAGAAAGGCTAGAGAGGAGATATTGCCTTTGCTGAGTCTTAGAAGGTGAGTAGGTATTTGTCAGGCAGACACAACAGGAAAGATGAAGTTGTGTTGATAAAGGCCCAGAGCTGGAAACAACATTGAGTGCTTGGAAACCACAAGTTGCTTAATGAGGCCAGTCCTAGGATGAGAAGGGCTGTGTGGTAAGAGGTGAAGTTGGATGACCAGTGAGAGATGAGCACAGTGGACATCTCACAGGGCCTTATCCAATAAGCTACAAATTTTGAACTTTATATAGATAATGAGGAATATTTCTAATAGATAGAAACTTTTAAAATGTCTTCCATGTGTTCAATACCGCTATCTTAGAATTTCTACCCCTCCTTGCTACCCTATCTCCAATAGGTGCCTGAAAGCCATGTAAATACACCTTACCCATGTCCTTCCTTGGCCTGTACTAATTAGACCAGTGATGGTGAACCTATGACATGTGTGTCAGAGGTGACACGCGAACTCATTTTTTTGGTTGATTTTTCTTTGTTAAATGGCATTTAAATATATAAAATAAATATCAAAAATATGTCTTTGTTTTACTATGGTTGCAAATATCAAAAAATTTCTATATGTGACATGGCACCAGAGTTAAGTTAGGGTTTTTCAAAATGCTGACACACCAAGCTCAAAAGGTTCGCCATCACTGAATTAGACCATGGGTGTCCACCTGACTCATGCTGATTCTACCGTGAACTATCTCTCCCAGGAATTTAAAATTAGAAATCAGAGACTCTTCTTTTGGTGTTCTTGATTATGTGGGTAGTATCCCTGGAATTTGGTCTGCAGAGAGAGAAGAATGGAGTAGACATGAATATGATAAAGCCAGCTTTGGGAGGCCCTGTTTCACTTCTTTATGGGGCACCCTGCCATACTGCTATATCCATCTACTAGATGTATCGGTTAATAATGGCAGATTTTATAATCAAAGAAAACACGATAATTTCCAGAGAAACATCAAAAGTGCTTTATTCAAAGTAATATTAATTGCTAGCTACACATTTCCCCCATCTTTCAAGTAATTTGTGGGTACCATCCCAATAAAACTTTTCTTGTTTTGAGGCAAACCATTCAGAGAACAAATTTTCCACTTCTTTGTACATTTTGAAGTGCTGCTCAGAAATTGCATGTGCCATAGATCGGAACAAGTCGTCATCTGAAGGAGCAAGGTCTGGTGAATACAGCGGGTGGGTTAATACTTCCCAGGAAAGATCTTTTAACGTGTTTCCTTAACTGGTTTTGAAGTGTGTGATGGTGTATTATCATGAAGCAAAATTACTTTGCTGTGTCTTCTGGCACATTCTGGTCATTTCACGATCAAAGCATGGTTCGAATTGATTATTTGTTGTCCGTAGGTATTAACGGTTTCACCTGGTTTTAGAAGCTCATAATACATCACACCTTCCTGATCCCACCAAACGCAGACCATTGTCTTCTTTCTGAAGTTAAATTTTCTTTTCATTGCCAGTCACAATTCAATGCAAAAAAGACTTTCTTTCATGCCATTGAAGCAAGATTTCACTGATGACTTTTTGGTTTTCCATTTGTCTTTCATTCAGTTAATGTGGTACCCAGTTTCCTTCCTTTAAAATCTTTCCCATTGCTTGTAATCGATTGGAAATGGTTTTCTGAGCAATGTTTAATCTTTCTGCAAGTTGATTTTAAGTTTGACATGCATCTTCATCCAATACTTGTAATTGTTGGTCTTCAAACTTTTTCAGTTGGCCTGGACGTTCTTTGTCTTTCACATCGAAATCATCACTTTTAAAATATTTAAACCAGCATTCACAAGTATCTTGAGATGGTGCATGTTCACCATAAGCTTCCTGAAGTATATGATAACTTTTTCTTCAAAATAAGGAAATGAATTAAAACTTCCCTCAAATGCTATTTTTTGGCACAAAATTCCACATTTTTAAGTGTAAAAATATCTATGATGTTAACACCTTCAGAAAATTTGACATATGAAGTTTTGAAGCTTGCTGTCAATACAACAAAATAGCATGCATGTCAAATTGCATATATATCAACATAGGTGTAACTCCATCTATTGAAAAAAATCCACTTTATCAACTGGTACACCTAGTAAACTGCCTGTCTTTAATGTCTTCAGTGACTTTGGTTATTGCAAAGCAAAGAGAGGGTCCTGGCAACTGTGCCATTTGTTTTGGGTTTTGGTAGTGCAGGCAGAGGGCTGTGTCTCATGGTTTTAACAGTGCATAGGCCATTCACTTTTCATGGCTAAAAGGAGTCTACTTTTCTGAGATACCAGGCCTGAGTACATGGTTTACAAATCTTACTAATGTAAATGTTAGAGCCATATTAAGAAAATACTGTCTTGGTGAGATTAAATTTCTTGTGGGAAGGAACTGTAAAAGCTCCCAAATCTGAAGGAAGGTGTTTTGAAATGTTTTGTTTCTTTGCTTTCACTGACTGCTGTGTGGTATGAAAGTCAATTTTTAAAAATATTCTTATTTTTGATGAAGGAAAGTTTGGTAACAACCCTATACCTATTATGGGATGCATTAAGTTTTATTGGAAAGATTCCCATCTACACTGTGTTTATCTATCTTTTAGGTCGCTCTACTCGACTGTGCACATAATTCTGCAGAACCTGCTCAGTCGAGTCTGTATGATGCTAGAGATGTGGAAGTGGCTCGCTGTGGGGCACTGGCACTGTGGAGCTGCAGTAAGAGTTATGCGAATAAAGAAGCCATTCGTAAGGCTGGGGGCATTCCGTTGTTGGCTCGGTTGCTGAAAACGTCTCATGAAAACATGCTGATTCCGGTGGTGGGGACTTTACAAGAATGTGCATCAGAGGTACCTAGGCCTGCTCTGCTTCCCTTGCTCTCATTTCCTATGTATTTCCATAGTTGAAAAACAATTTGTAAGGTTATCATGACTGCTAAGGATTTTTTTTTCAAGAAGCCAACATTCTATTAGAAAGAGAAGATCAAACTAGTAGAATATTAATTACATTGGTATTTGTGTGGTTCATTATTTTTAAATATGTTTTTATTGATTTTTGTTTTGTTATTATTGATTTTTAGAGAAAGAGGAAGCGAGCGGGAAAGAGAGAGGACACCATCGATGTGAGAGAGAAACATCGATTGGCTGCCTCCCATATGGGTCACTGACGGGATGAAACCGTTAACTGGGTATGTGCCCTGACCGGATTTATTTTTGAAAATGTTGACTAAGTTCTCTTATTGTTATATCAATATGTTAACCTCGGACTTGTGTATTTGCTAAGAAAGTTTATTTAGTGTAATTATTAATTTTTAATAGATACTTATGTGCATACATTATATATACATAAATATTTAAATTCATATTACTAGGAAAACTACCGAGCTGCAATCAAAGCAGAAAGGATAATTGAAAATCTGGTAAAGAACCTAAATAGTGAGAATGAGCAGCTGCAGGAACACTGCGCCATGGCCATCTACCAGGTACAGTGGGCCCTATGGACAGGCCTGTTCTTCTCCATGTTTCTAAGCATACGGTCTCATTCTCTGGGGATGGAACTCAGAAGCCTGCATTTTTAACTAGAACCCCCAGGGATTTTCATGCCCAAGAGGTCTGAGAACCACTGTCCTATGCTAATGACAGATGCCTATATAGATCAGAGAGAAAGCTTCTCTAACATGTCTGATTATTTACAATTATATAAGACACTTGCATATCTTTATCTGCTAAAATTATTTACTTACTGTAAAATAGCTAAATATGTATATAGTACCTTTATATTGATTTTCATTATATCCCATTCAAATATAGTGGTCTTGGGAAATTTGTCTCCTCCCAAGACAATATGGATGAATGAGTGCATGTGTGCATGTGTATTTCTGTTTTATTGATTTATTTATTAACTAGAGGTCTGGTGCATGAAATTCGTGCACGGGGGGATGTGTCCCTCAGCCCAGCCTGCACACTCTCCTATCTGGGACCCCTTGAGGGAGGTCCGACTGCCTGTTTAGGCCCAATTCTGAAACCAGGGTCAGGCCTAAACAGGCAGTTGGACATCCTTCTCACAATCCAGGACTGCTGGCTCCCATCCACTCACCTGCCTGCCTGCCTGCCTGATTGCCCCTAACCATTTCTGCCTGCAGCCTGATCACCCCCTAACCGCTCCCCTGCCAGCCTGATTGATGCCTAACTGCTCTCCCCTGCTGGCCTGGTCACCCCCTACTGCCCTCCCCTGCTGGCCATCTTGTGTCCACATGGGGGCATCCATCTTTGACCACATGGGGATGGCCATCTTGTTTGTTGGAGTGATGGTCAATTTGCATATTACTCTTTTATTAGCTAGGGTTTTAATCTTCATTATTTGCGGTGAGTTATACATTACATAGTACAGCAGGTCTTCAGATAACATCATTTCATTCAACATTATCTATCTATCCTATATAATAAGAGAGGGATATGCTAATTAGCCCTGATATGCTATTTAGTCATGACCCGTATGCAAATTGACCATCACTCCAACACACAAGATGGCTGCCCCCATGTGGCCACAAGATGGCCACCCCTATGTGGACACAAGATGGCCACCACAAGATGGCCTGCAGGGGAGGGTAGTTGTGGGGGATCAGGCCTGCAGGGGAGGGCAGTTGGGGGCAACTGGGCCATCAGGGGAGGGAAGTTTGGGGTGATCAGGCTGGCCAGGGAAGGCAGTTGGCGGCAATTGGACCAGCAGTGGAGGGCAGTTAAGGATAATAGGGCCAACAAGGGAGCAGTTAGGTGTCATTAAGGCTGGCAGGAGAGTGGTTAGGGGTGATCAGGCAGGCAGTCGAGCGGTTGGGAGCCAGAAGTCCTGGATTGCGAGAGGGATGTCCAACTGCCCATTTAGGCCCAATCCCTCAAGAAGTCCCAGATTGGAGAGGGTGCAGGCTGGGCTGAGGGACACCCCACCTCAGTGCACAAATTTCATCCTATCTAATAATAGACAAACATGGTAATTAACCGTACCTCCGACATGCTTCTCATCGGCTAATCAGGGTGATATGCAAATTAACTGCCAACCAAGATGGCAGCCAGCAGCCAGGCAGCTGAAGCTAACAGGAGGCTTGCTTGCTCCAGTGAAGGAGGAAGCCAAGGTTCCCCGCCTGCCGCTGCTGTGCTCTGAGCTGCACTCTAAGAAACAATGTTGCAAATATAGAGGCTAAACAAACTCCAGAGACCTGTTTTCAGCCAGCCGAGCTACAGCCAGCAGGACCGCAACAGAGTTTCAATTATAGAACAAACCCAGATACCTGCTTTCAGCAGCTGAGGTCTCAGAGCTGGAACTGGGCCTCAGAGCTAAAGCCGGCTCTCAGCTCCAGTGACAGCCATAGAAGGTAAATAAATCCAGAATAAAAGAAAAAAAAGAAAAAAAGGAGAGGTTGGGAGCTTCAGTTGCCCGCCAGCCTGAAAACGGCCCTCAGCCCCTCACCCAGACTGGCCAGGCACCCCAAGGGGGACCCCCACCCTGAAGCAACAAGATGGCAGCTAATTTGCATACTGAGGTGGGTGGCAGTGGGCAAGGCTCTCTGCGGTCCCAGGACCCAGATCTGTGACCCTGCCAGGCAGGGGGCAGTGCTTGAGGCTGTCCACAGGACCAAGACATGGATCTGTGACTCTGCCGGGCGGCGGGCAGCACTTGAGGCTATCCGCGGTCCCAGGACCCGGATCCGTGACCCTTCCCAGTGGGGCGGCAGCTCGCACAGGGGTGGATTAGCTGGGGTGGGGCAGGGCAGGACTCTGGGAAGGTGAGCATCACAGAGAGCCTCTGGACAGGGGAGGCAGGCCAGTGGAGGGTGGCCTGTACTCCCCACATGGCGGTGGTGACAGCTGTGAGCACGCCAAGCGGAGCCTGCAAGCTGAGCTGAAGTAGCGCCTGCAGGCCATCAGCACCCAGGAGTGGCTGTGCAAGATCCGCCTCCTGGCCCAGAAGGTGCAGGATTGCAGGGACAGCCACCATGGCGGGCCAGACTGATGTCCTCCTGGCCGCGCCAGGGGTGTTTGCGGATCTGCAAAGCCAGAGGCCTCCCATGTGCAAATCCCCCCCTGGTGTGTGAACATCCCCCAGCACACTGTCACCCTCCCGCACCTGCAACAGTTTCAAACCAAGGCGTGCACAAGTTCCACCCGCCTCTCCACTGCACTTCCATCCACCCAGCATGCCTAACACCCCCACAGGATGTGCACACATCCCCTCTGATGCGCTCACGTCCTTTGGAGAGTGTCTGGGTATTCTGGGTGCTGAGGGTGGGCGCCTGTGAGATGACAGTGAGAGGGTGGTGATGCCCTGTTCCCACGGAGGCCAGTGCAGCTATGAGATCACCTCTGGGGGGTTAATGCAGGTGCTGAGGCAAGAGCAGATGCAGACAGACACACCTATTGGGCGTGGGTGGCCCTCGCTGAGGTGCCTTTGGTCAGCCTTCAAGATGAAGGACTGAGAGGTGGAGAGGAATTCCGTCCTCTCAGTGAAACAGTGGGATAGTCGAAGCGACTGTAGAGGAGGAATGTGCACTTTGGGTGCCAGCACCCATGAGTGAAGGCTGCCCTGACTGAGCCTCGCTTGCTTGGGGCCTAGCGCACTCCTGCCGGACAGTGGGTGACAGGACGTGCTTTTCTGAACTAATGAGAGAAAACGTTGATTCTCCTGTTGCCCACGAAGGTGGAAAGTGAAGTGGGGAGACATGGGGAGTGAGCGAGGTTCCCTGTCTGGGGGTTCAGATCTGCTGTTGGTTTTCTTTCACCGCTGACTAGAGATATACAGGGTGACCCCCAAAAATGTATACACACTTTGAATACCTACTAATTCCAATGGTTTTAAGCATAAGAAAGAAACAATAATGGAGCTGTTATCTGTTAAAAGTGTGGGCACAAACAGGCAGTTGGACATTCCCTGAGGGGTCTCAGATTGGAGAGGGTAAAGGCCAGACTGAGGGGCCTCTTTCTCTCCCTACCCCAGGGCATGAATTTCGTGCACCGGGCTACTAGTATACATATAAAAGTCTAATATGCAAAGTGTCCCCTCGGGAGTTCAAATGACTGGGAGTTCGATAGACTGGGAGTTGATTGCTTCTATGACGGAATGAAGGAAGGCCCCAGCTGGCAGCCAGCAGCCACTTGGGACCCTACCCATGCACATATTTTGTGCACTGGGCCTCTAGTTTCATTATAATGTTGATGAGATAATGTAGTAACTTAACTCATTTATATCGATTAACCTATGGTGAAATTTTGCTGTCTTTTCATTTAAAATCACAAAACCTGTTGATGATGTTAAGTGAGGACTTAATGTATTCCAAAAAACAGATTAAAATGATCAAGGGGTAGAAAAAATAGCCCAGACAAATTAGTATATGGCTGGCTACTGGCCATGCCAGCTTCCCCCTAATCAGAATAGATTTCCTAGAGGAATTCATTTTAAAATGTGCAGTGAGAATGCATCCAAACGATAGCGTCAGAGAGGAGGTACATGTTGATAGAGGATTGTAATAGTTTGCTTGGGCTGCCATAACAAAGTACCACAGCACTGGGTGGCTTAAGCAACAGATAACTGTTACTGAAAGATAAAGGTTATCACATGATCTTTACTCAGTGTCCTAATATCCTCTTCTTATAGGGTTACATGCCATATTGGATTAGAGTTCACGTCAATGACTTCATTTGATTTTAATTACTTCTTTAAAGACACTATCCTCAAATATGGTCACTTTGTGATATATGGGGGTTAGGACTTCAACTTACGAGTTTTGAGGACATGCAACCAGCTCATAACAAGGATATATAGCTTTGACGGAATATATGCCTCATAAGAATAAGCATTAAAGGACAGTTAGAAATAGCGATTAATTTTTAAAAGTTGCAACTGAACCAGAATGAAAAGTCACAAATAGAAGGTAAACAAGGCGGTGCTTTGTGGTACACTATGATGAGGATTTCTTCCAGTGGCACTCACTGATGATGCGTTATGTGTATATTTGTATCGTGTGGCCTCAGTGGCCTCAGAGGCTGACTGTATGCTTAGGACAATAGCAAACCTATACTGAATTAATCATTGTTGGTGCTATAACCTGAGAAGGATGATCAGTTGAAAACATCTAGGCAACACATATTTATTTCAAAGGATGACTGGTTGCTATTGATATGACCCACTGCTCTGGGCATAGAAACTTTATTGGGGAAATTCCTCATCTCTTAGATTTGGGGGGTCATTAAAGGTTTGATTGTATCCCTTCCACTGCTCTATGTTCTCTTCTGTGTTTTTCCAAGACTCTGGGTTGCATTACTGCAGAAATGTGTGTGGCATTCTAAGTTTCTAACCAACCTTTGCCTCTGTCTTGTTAGAAACCCAGGCCACATCAGAATTGGCTTTGGAGAATTGCCAAAGTATGTAGAAACTGCTAGACATTGCCAAAACCATGTAAAGGAAGATAGACATTGTCAGATAGCTGCAAATATAGGAAGAATTATGCTTTACTTGGAGGTGCCTTCAGAATATTATGCTCTCTGATAAGAAGTTTCATAGCTGGTACAAATGGCAGCCTCTTTCACAATCACTGAAATCTTGATATGCCTTACTCACTGCCAGCCTCTCACTTGACTTTTTGTGTAGTGTGCCGAAGATGAAGATACCCGTGACCTGGTTAGGATGCACGGGGGACTTAAACCCCTGGCCAGTCTGCTCAATAACACTGACAATAAAGAACGTCTGGCTGCTGTCACAGGGGCAATATGGAAATGTTCCATCAGCAAAGAGAATGTGACCAAGTAAGAAAAAGTATTCCATATTCTGTAATAAAAATAAGGCCACCAAAACAGTCTTGTAATTTAATTCTGTTTTAAGAAAGAGTCTATAATAATGCTACTCCTGTAGGTTTTATAGATGCACATTTTGGACTAGGTTGGCAGAATTAATGAATTTTTAGAAATAAAAGACCCCTACTTCCCATATTTTCTGTGCCTCAGTAGGGCTCAGGGGCTTGCTGACATAATCTTTCAAGGAGAGTGGGCTGTTTGGCATATGGGTAGCCACTTCAACATAAAGTATCTCTCATATTTCCTGCAGAAATGTACTGAGGTTGAGGGGGTGGATTTCGCACTGAATCTTTAGAGATGGATGTGGTTCCATTCTTTCCCCTTTTGTGAAGATAAACAAGATGAGTCAGATAAATGCCAACTAACCAATTAATCTTAAAGATAATCATTTTCAAATATGATTTCATTGAATTTCAAAGTGTGTGTAAACTTTATGACCATTTGATTTAATTTAATGTTCAAATTCATCTCTTCATTTATTTTTAGAGTTCTCACCCTCTATGAAGGATGTTCTGAAGCAACTTTTCCTTATCTCAAGCATGATGATTATCTTAAACAAAAATCACATGTCCAATTGACACAAAATAGACTTATTTTGCTTTGTTTATGTAAAGTGGTCTCTGTAATATGGGGAAACAGCCCTTAGCATAGTGGAATCATTGCCACTCAGATTTGGAAGAAGTTGTAGTTGTTTCAAAGGCTGTATAGTACAGAGGTTAAGGGCACAGATGGGTGGATGTGGATGCTAGTTATGCTATTTACCAAGCTTCAGATTAACTTCCTGAAAATGGGGATTTTAATAGTATCTACATTATAGTGTTTTTGTAAGGATGAAACGAACATATAGTGGATGTTTATTAATATTATTACTATTAATTATCATCAGAGAACTTTATACCTAAAAAAATATTGTTCTCCTCTTTCTTTCCCTCCCACCTCTTTTTCTTGTGATGAATTTAGGTTTCGGGAATACAAAGCCATTGAAACTTTAGTGGGACTTTTAACTGATCAACCCGAAGAAGTTCTTGTGAATGTGGTGGGCGCCCTGGGAGAATGTTGTCAAGAATATGAAAACAGAGTTATTGTCCGGAAATGCAGTGGCATTCAACCACTTGTGAACCTCCTCGTTGGAATAAACCATTCTCTTCTTGTCAATGTCACAAAAGCAGTTGGTGCATGTGCAGTAGATCCCGAAAATATGGCGTAAGTGGCCCTACAACCTGAAAGTTTTTGTTTGAGAATGTTAGGGGAAACACGCGGGTAATCGTGGAATAGTGTCATCACTTAAAATTGAATGATGAAAAAGTAAAGAGAGTTTACATATAAATAACCACAAAGTTACAAAATCATGACTTACAGAGCCAAATTGTTCCATTGGATGAGCTGGAGGCCTGAGGCTGGGCATATTGGGAGTTCAAATACCCAGTAATTAATTTCCCATGCAGAAACTTTAATCATCAGATATTTTCTTTGTATACCAGGGAAGAATTATCTAATTACCTGAGATCCTAGGTAGTTGTAGGTAGCATTTCCATTGTATCCTTCTTGCTTCAATTGAGCACCTAACGAGTGGATGGATGAGGGGAAAAATTGAATGGATGAGGGGAAAAACAAAGGATATTAAGCTATGATCTTGGTCCTTGAGAAAAAGTCTAATTAGGAAGACTTAAATATGGTACAATTTAAGAACAATAGCAAGATTATATATCCAGAAGATGAGAAACCCATATGAGTCAATGTTGTTGTATTAGGGTTCCCCAGAGAATCAGAACCAACAGTGTGTGTGTGTGTGTGTGTGTGTGTGTGTGTGTGTGTGTGTGTGTGTGTGTAGAGAAGAAGAGAGGGGGGAGACTGAAAGATTGAGATTGATTTACTTTAAGTAATTCACTCATGTTATTGTGGAGGCTTGGCAGGTCCAAATTCTGATGGAGTAGGCTAGCAGCAGCTGACTGGAGAATTAGGAAAGAATTGCAGTGTGAATTCAAAGTCAGTCTTCTGGCAGAATTTCTTCTTGCTCAGGAAGGTTAGCCTTTGTTTTATTAAAGCCCTCAACTGATTAGATGAGGCCCACTGATTATGTATGATAATCTGTTTTACTCAACATCTACCAATATAATGTTAATCTGATCCCAAAAAACACCTACACAGAAATATAAAGAATAATGTTTGGCTAAATATCTGGGCATCACTTAGCCCAGTCAAGTTGACATATAAAAATGAGTCATCCTAAATCCACCCTTTGTCAACTCAGCACCCATACACACATCTTAAATCACACTCAATTGCTATATAAATACGATAACAAGATTATACTTCTGCTAATTATCTTGCATACAACTAAATTTCACTAATGATTTCCCCAGAAGAGTAAACAAAGTCCTTTGGCAATGCTTATTCTTATTGATATCCTGTAACTTAAATATTGTGATGTAAAGTTAACAATACTTAAAAACTATGATATAAAGTCAATACATCTCATGTTACATGACAAGAGGATAAGAGTGGACAGAAAACAAAGATACACACATACATAACTATAACAAAATAGGAAGGAATACTCTAATAATTATAGTCCTCGTTTCTATAACTGGTCACATGGCTGTCACTGGTATTTATAACTACCTTCTTTCACTACCCATTCTGTATTCTCTTTAGCCTCAGCTAGAACTTTAGTTCGTTGTGGTTCTTTACCTGGTGGGGTGACTTCCTTCTTGAAGGCCTGGGCCATTTACTAGTCCTGCCTGGATTGGGTTTGTTGTGGTTTCCTCTTGACTTCAATCACAGGGCATGGTAATACTAAGAGATACTCTAAGGGACCTCCTGTATTCCAGATATATTCATCCTTATACCTGTTGTGGAGTAGCAGTTCAATTTCCCCTTTGTAATCAGGATCAATTACCCCAGCCAGCATAGTAACTCTCTTCTTTGCCTGTTGATTTAGAGGCATGAGAAGCCAAAGTGGCAGTCTTAACTTCCAGTTCAGTGGCATCATTATTGTGTTTCCTGGTGAAAACATTCTTCCCTTTGGAACTAAGACCTCTAGATTAGCAAAGCATAAGATTATAAGGACAGGAATACAAATTTTGATAGTAGGTCACTAGGGATAAAAGTAAATGCCACTCCCATTTCCACACTTTGATTTCTGGACCCATGAATTCTGACTGTGGAAGAAATAGCACCATATTTTTTACTGGTAAATAGCTCTATTGACATGACTTGTAGACTCACAAAAGTCAACCAGCCATTCTTAACTTCATCCCATCTCTGTCCCCTTCAGTCCAAGATGGCAGTGTTTCTAGTGAAGTGATTAATTAAATCCATGACTCACATCTGTAATCGCTTTATCATATGAATGTCTAGTTATATTCTTTTTTTTAAAAAAAATAAGTTTTTATTAATTTTAGAGAGAGAAAGGGAAAGGAAGAGAGAGACAGAAACATCAATGATGAAAGAGAATCATTGATCAGCTGCCTCCTGCAAGCCCCTTAATGGGGATGGAGCCTACAACCCAAGCATGTGCCCTGACCAGGAGTCGAACCTGCTACTCTTGTTTCCTGGGTTGATGCTCAACTGCTGAGCCAAACCCACTGGGTGAAACTCTTTTAAACAGTTACATTAAGTAAACTGTTATATTTATTGATTTTTCAGTTGATTCCATTAAAGAAAAGGCCAGAGAAAATGACACACATTTTTTTTGAATTTTAATATTCTTTAAGGAACTTAGATTTGAAGCAACAAAATGTAATGAAAGAAAAAGAATGACTCAGTGACAAACAACAGGCCTCAAGGACATTTTGATTGAGTTGGGATGACAGACAAGTAATTTTAAAATGGGGTGAAAATGAGATGGCAGTAAATATATATTTTTTGGTGAATACACAAAACTATTTTGTGGAATTTTATGAGGCTTAACTTCCGGGTAATATATGGGGACTACAATAAAGAACAAAAGTAGAAAATAATCATTTTATCCCAAGCAAGGAAATGGCCACAACTCCAAATCTTAAATGTGAAAACATATGCAAAATGTTGTGAATTATTAGCCTGTGTGTAATATATTGACAGCTAACATGTACCTCTTCAGATTGCAAGCTTTTCCCCCAAGTAAGTGTCATGGTCATGAGATACATAGCCGACATTTGTTTCATAGAGAGCAGAGATGAGAGGAGCGAATGGGTCTTGGAAGAAGTGAGGAATTTCCCATCAGAGACCTAGTTTTGCATTATAAAACATCATAGCTCTGTAGTATAATTTAAAGTCAGGTAGTGTGATACCTCCAGCTAAGTTCTACCCCCCCCCCCAGGGTTGCTTTGTGGTTGCATAAAAATCTGGTGATTTTTGCTCTATTTCTTTTAAAAAATGACATTGGAATGTTGAGGGTGATTGCATCAAGTCTGTATATTGCTTTGGGTAATATGGCTGTTTTAACGATGCTGATTCTTCCAATCCACGAACACAGGATATTTTTCCAGGTTATTTGTGTGTGTGTGTGTGTGTGTGTGTGTGTGTGTGTGTGTGTCTTTTTCAATCACTTTTTTATAATGCTTTGTAGTTTGATTGATTTGCATATGTTCAACCATCCTTATGCCCCTAGAATGAGCCCCACTTGATCATGATGTATTATTTTTGATGTATTATTGTATTCGATTTGCTAACATTTTGTTTAGAATTTTAGCATCTATATTCATCAGAGATATTGGCCTATAGTTTTCTTGCCCAGAAAATGTTGCTCAGTGGTTGAGCATTGACCATAAACCAGGAGATCACAGTTCAATTCCCAGTGAGGGCACATGCCTGGGGAAGCTGTGTCACCAGGCTTTATAGGACAACTACTACATGAGGCCACTATACTAAGTCTGGGAGACATAGCAGCTCTACCTAGTACATAGAAATAAACTTAGGGAAGCAGATAAAATGCAGATACAAAGAAACAAGTCCCAAATGAAAGAACAGGAGAAATCTCCCCCCAAAAAGAACTAAATGAAATGGAGGCAAGCAAACTGCCAGATATAAAGTTCAAAACAATGGTTATAAGAATGTTCCAGGAACTTAGTGAGAAGTCCAACAGTGAAAAATCCATAGAAACCATAAAAATGAACCAGGCAGAAATGAAGGATACACTAAGGGAAATGAAGAATAATTTATAGGGAATCAACTATACAGTAGATGAAGCTGAGGATTAATTTAGCAATTTGGAATATCAGGAAGAAAAAATACCCAATCAGAACAGCAAAAAGAAAAAATTGATTAAAAATAATGAGAACAGTGTAAGGAATCACTGGGACAACTTCAAGCATACCAACATTCGCATCATGGGGGTGCTAGAAGGAGAAGAGCGAGAGCAAGAAATTAAAAACCTCTTTGGAAAACATAATGACAGAAAGATATACAAGTTCAGGAAGTGCAGTGAGTCCCAAACAAGATGAAATCAAAGGCCCATACCAAGTCACATCACAATTAAAATGCAAAAGAATAAACTCAAAGAGAGAATCTTAAAAGCATTAAGAGAAAAGCAGTTAGTTGTCTACAAGGGAGCTCCCATCAGACTGCCAGCTGATTTCTCAACAAAGACTTTGCAGGCCAGAATGGAGTGGCAAGAAATATTCAAAGTGTTGGAAAACAACAATCTACAATCAAAATTACTCTACCCAGCAAAACTATCATTTAGAGTCGAAGGACAGATAAAGAACTTCCAAGAAAATGCTAACAGATTTCATCACCACCAAACCAGTACTGCCAGAAATGTTAAAGAATATTCTTTAAGAAGAAGAAAATAAAAGATAAAAAACACAAACAATAGCTCTGACTGGTTTGGCTCAGTGATTAGAGTGCTTGCCCATGGACTGAAGGGTCTTGGCTTCAATTCTGGGTAAGGCTACGTGCCTCAGTTGCAGGCTTGATCCCTGGCCCTCATAGGGGCACGTGCTGGAGGCAACCAGTCAATGTGTCTCACATCGATGTTTCTTTCTCTGTGTCTCTCCCCCTCCTTTCCACTCTCTCTCTAAAAAAAAAATCAATGGAAAAATATCCTCAGATGAGGATTAACAAACATAATAATAAAATAAAATGTGTTAACTTAAAACAAAATATGAATAGTAAAATGCCAATAAATACATATCTGTAACAATTGAATCTAAAAAACAAAATAAAGCCCTGGCCAGCATTTCTCAGTGGTTAGAGCAGGGGGGTTCTCAAACTTTTTA